CATTTTCCAAAAATCATATCCAAATATATGAGCTGGTTTGAAATATACATTAGATTCATTAGATCCCCAATTGTGCAACTATTTTCTCTGCAATAAAGACTGCCGTAAATGTATATATATATCCTTTTTTGAAACTATTTTCATCTATATATATATACATATTAAACATGCTACAATAATTGTCTTTTCTGGGTGCATACCATTATCCATCATTGGTACACCCCCATGATTAGCATATTGTCATGTATCGGTGGAGTGAAACCATAAAATAAACATGTGTTCGCAATAATGTCAACTATGATTATATCCCATTATCATTTATATCCAATAATCCAGTGATGATCCCCATTTCTCAAATATAACTGGGAACCTCATTTTCATTGGGGTAATATTTCCCCGTGATGTTCCACCAAAAATGAAATTATAAGATGGATATATACCAGAAATATCACTATATAATGGGATATCATGGGGTTATATATTATATAAATATATATATATATCCCAATGACAGATATGAGCTGACAACTGTTCATGTGATATGCTAATTATCGTCAAACACATTATACATTTATGGGCCAAAACCAGGATACCCTACCCTAAATTAGCTGGTGAATGGACGTTATTCCTCCAAATATGGTAATTTGATATCTCATAACAAGTTTTCACCCATCCCCAAATAACAGTAAATAACAATTAAGTTAATGCCTGTAAAACAATCATAAACCACCTATTTATGGTGATGTGGGGGATGCTTCTTTTTTAAAATTGTTTTATCCACATTAACTTAACATAAGTATCCCCACATGTGTTAACTTAAGATATTCCCATTGGGATAAGGCGTTTATGACTCTTTTACCAGCTTTTTTGTCATCCCAATGGGTTTTATCCATGATATATATCCCACATTAATGTGTTACCCATTGATAGGTTTTGACCCATCCCCATATAACCATTATTGCTACACATATCCCCAGCATGTTATTGGTTATCAACCCCATCATCCCCAGATAACCATTGTGTTGTCATGTTATTGGCTATCATATTATCATTGTTATGCTGAATATAACCACAATGTTGTGCCTTGACATCCAAATCATTTTGTATGTTGTATATTTAATTTTTAAAACATGGCTCAAGTATATATATATATATGTATGTATAAATGGGGGTAAATTGTATAAGTCATGTTAAAGTTAAATCAGTAGATGGGGAGATAAAACAAAACATCAGATAGCAAATACATTAAAAAAATACAAAGAGTTGGCAAAGATAGCCATTTTTTTGCCTGGCAACAGATGTTTTGTATGGCAGGACATTTTTTCTGCTCAAGTGAAGCACAATTTCACGGGAAGAATGGCTGCAGCTGAAATGTGATAGCACAGAGGGGGACGCTGCAGGACTTCAAATCTTGGCGTTTCCTGTTGTTTAAGAGAAGATGAGAGCAGGCTGGCGTGGAACGCGCATGTGCTTCCTGTTTTTTAGAGAAGAAAACAAGGAAACGCGCATGTGTTTCTAGGTTTCACACTTCCAAAACAAGTAAATACATATGTGTTCAAGATGTATTTCTACATCTATACACGTGGTGCGCAAAAATCTCGACATTCGGGATGTGTTTCAACAGAAACATGGAGACGCGCATGTGTATCCTCATGAAAATACCAAAATGGCAAGGGGACGCAATTGTGTTTCCAGCTCTCATCACCGTCGTGCTTGGAAACACGTATGTGTTAAAAACGCATTTTTTTGTGTTTCCTCAAGGCTGAAATCCGTAGCTGTTTTTCCTGCTCAAGCTCACCCGAACCGCTGTTTTTGCCAGAACTCTTCACATTTCGAGATCAAAAGCTAAGGAAACGACATGCAGCGGGAAAAACGGAACTTACCAAAATCACATGACAATTGCCAACAAAAAACTACAACAAAATTTAACCAAAAAATATACAAAAGATACATATATATATAACTTAACTGACAAAACCTATAAGATAAATTAACATAACTTAAAGTTAACTTCCCTAAGTCCTTTTATAAAGCCCCTAATAAGTCTCTAAGTCCATCTTATGTCAAGGCACAGCATACAACCATATACACATAACCTCAAGATTTTCCAGCCCAAGCGTCGCTATCCAGCAGCTGCTCCTCGCTCCGAATCGCCACATGTTCCGCCGCCCTCAGCAGCGACAGCACGGCGCGGTGCTCCTCCAAGGGCTCCACGTCGCACGAGGGCTCACTGGGGACGTCCTGGAAAATGTCTGGTTAATAATTGAGAATCTATGGTATGATGGAAAATCTATGGTTAACATCTGAGAGTCTATGGTGAATCTATGGTGGAAAAATGACTGGAAAATTTGGAACATGCGTCAAAACATATGTAAAAATCCCTCAAAATTGAAGATTTCAAGAGGTGAAAAATGATTCAACGTGATTTCACCACCCAAAAAAAAACAAAATTGGGATTTCAGCGGCCAAAAAGTTGATTTAATTCGCAATTTTTCAGGGATTTGAGCAGCCAAATTTGGATTTACTGGGCAAATTTCAGGATGTGGATTTCATTTGCAATTGTTGTAATTGAAGCAGCCAGAAATGAGGACCTCACTGGGACATATTGGGATTTAAACAAAGACAATGATGATTCTCTTGGCAAATCTTGGGATCCAACCAGCCAAGTGATGTGGACCAACGAGCAACATGGATTTCATTTGAACATCTTGTGGCTGAACTAGCTGCGGATGGATCATTGGGGCATTCGAGCAACACTGACTTAGTTGGACGATGGTTGAACATGGGATCCATGGATATCCGTGGTTGATTGATTGATGTTGATTCAGCCCCTGCGGCTAGAAAACCGAGCTACAAACGGAAAATCCACTATTTCTATGGCCATGTTCAATAGCTATGTTAATTACCAAGAAGGTTAATACGAGTTTCCTAAATCATTCCAGGGGAGATGATTCTGGAAGATAGGCACTGGAAAGTGCTCCGATGACGAGGGCGGTGCTTTCTTCAAATCATCCAGCTGCGTTTGTCAACGTTTGAAACACCACAAATCAGGGGGAACTTTGACCAATGCGATATTCAACAAACGTCAGTGTTCAACCCGCAACATCGATATACCGATATACCCGAGACCGGGAACATCAGCTATTCACAGTATCTGGCAGGCACTTTTTCTGACAAAAAAGGAAGGTACAATGCAAACATCCACCAGCCAACCTCTTGGCTCGTGGCTTTCAATCCAAGAAAATGAAGCTGCACATATACTTGCAAGTCATGTTAATTGACGGTACAAATGTCAAAAGGAGATTCTCCGTGAAAACGGAGGATGCTGAACAATCAAATGACAAAATGAAAAAACAATGCAAAAAACAAACGCAAGTGGTTGGGAACCGGGCCACCCTTCCCACAACACGCACCCGTGCCCCATCAAATGGTCACTTGGCTATATAATAATATAATGCTATATAAATGCTTCATTCATTGGCCTTGGGGCGCAATATCACTCCCAAGTTTTTATCGCTATGTCCGGCCTATCCAAGTTTCAACCAGGCCCGAGTTTTGCATCGAATCCGAATGTGCACAATGGGAATCTATTCCAATATTGGCGCGGCATGGCGCGGCAGGCCAACAGTCTGCCCCCACCTTGTTAATCAAAGATTGTTAATCCAGTGCTGACAGCTGACATTACCCATAGCATTTCTTTGGCCCCAAAGCTTGCACCGGATTTGCACCAGTCCTCCGTGTCGCCAAACCAGCCCATCTCTTGCACAGCGAACTCCTCCCAGTCGCCCATCTGGTAGCCCTTCGGTAAGGAAACTTCTGAATGGAAGCGTTGCTCCAGAGCTGCATGGGTACCCCTGGCCAGGTTGCTGTCAGCCAGCCCGAGGTATTATCGAAGTCAACTGGGATCATCGTCCGGCACCTGAAGATTACTGTATTGAAACAAACAACGTACGATACCAAAGCTTGAAAACAGAACGCTAAAACTTAACTTGGGATGACATAGCTTGTCATAGGTTCATTCTGCTTCAAAGTTCAGTCTTTTAGGATGCCTCCCCCCTCATCTGCCTCAGGGCTTCAACCATTTCGCAGGCCCAAGCTACGTAACGTTCGGTCTTACTCTGCGACCAGCCTGACCATTGGCACCGTGGGGTGGCCCATGGCGGTATCCCCAAGTCCGGCGAGAAAGAAAAATGAGGCTCGCCCCCTTGAACTAGCCAAACTAGGAATCCCTTTCCAAGTAAATGTAACCACTGATGTGTTTTTTGAGAGTGTTCAATCTGACCCTGACCCTTGCCACCTGCCGAACTGCTGCTGAAGTGTCATGATATGACCCATCGCAGCCACTGGTAAGGCGGTGATGGGCACCTTCCCTCGCTGATACTTGCGGCAAACACCATGAACTCCAGGTAAGCCGCAGGAGCGGCTTAAGCGAAGACAAAAACACGATAAAATCAAATCAGTTTGAACTTAAATGACAATGAGTAAATATATGATTGTGATTGTGATCATGAACTAACTGATTAACTGAATATCAAATATAAACAAACAATGCGTATTGTGATGAATTTCTCTGTCTTCTCGGACATCGACATGTCCCGTCGGATCGCTTCCGCCTGGAATGCCGTGGCGCATCAAGTCCCAGACGTTGTGGATTTTGTCGGCGATGCGCACCAACTTTGATTGCAAAGGTAAGGACTTGACCCGTCCTGGTGCGGAGAGCGCCAAAAGCTGCTGTTGAAAATTGGAAGGTTGCCATTTTCGTAGCAAATGATGTGACCCTCTTATGGTGGAAATCAGAAAGGCTAACAAAACAACAACAAAACGATGGTTGACATTACACAGATAATCAGACTTCGACGTGGACATTCCAAGAAGAAACATGTGATGAACTTATCATGAACAATCATGAGCAAACAGTTTTCCGTGGATAGATCCGGACAAGTCACTCTCAGGTTGACCCTCACCACATAGCATCCACATGCCGGGACTTCTCAGAGGGTTTGCCGCAACAAATCCACCGTACCAAAGAGATGCCAAAGAGACCAATTTGGCTGTGGCATGTGCCACCACACTTTCATGGTATTTCAGAACAAATGCCACAAACAGTTTCAAAACATCATAATTCAACTCTCTCTCTATCTCTCTCTCTCTCTATATTCATCGCCATCTCATAATTCAACTGAGACACGCAATTGAATAATTGAAACAAACGGGCATGAACAAGCATGATGTTTAATGCTTGTCTCACGTTTAACCAATTCTAATCCCATGATCTTGGTACCCCCATCTTAGGTCATTGTGAAGTTCAAACATTTAAGTGATCTAACCACCATCACTTGGATAAAGATGGATAAAGCTACCATCTTCAGTCATTGGTTCATGATATTTATCCGAGTGGAGGTGTTTGGGGATCATCCGGTTGATCCAAGGCATCCAAGAAGCTGAGCTGTCGAAACTTCTGGTGCAACGGTCTAAGGCCTGCGCGGAACTTCCGAAAAAAAAAAGGATCTCGAGATGGGCACCAACACAGAATGGGAAAAAAACATGGGGATATGATGCGGGAATACGATGTATCATCATTCAATTGGAATTAGAATCCCCAACATCGAAACAAAAAATGTACTTGTAATTATCAGTTGGTATCATAAATTAACTGAATCATGGCGCAGGGAATCCCATTCAAGTGGAGTTTAATTCAAAGTTTTCAAAAAGAACAATTAGAATATCCCCAGTAAATTTCTTATTGGATTTATTCCTAGCCTGTTGGAATTTTAATCCCATCATTCAACTTTAGATCATCCCACATATCGTAAGTCGTTCATAAGCCCCGTCAATATGTCCTCTAGTGGGTTATCCCAGGAATAAATAGGCGGCATAAACCCACTTCCTAACCGCAACAGGGTCCACCTAGTGAAAAAAAATAGGATATGTCATTATGAATATCAAAATCATTCAAAAACCCTCGTGAAAGGGTTAAAACATGTAACTGGGATGATCCTCCAAGTAGCTATCCTTGACCAGGCAAGGTGGAGGCTTCGGCTTTAACATGGGCCTGGCAAAAAAAGCACTAGTGAAAGGCTTACAACTCCAGTGAAGACCCACTTAGTAAATGGTTAATAGCCCTGGTTACTAAGTCCCCATTCAATGAGTTATCCCCTGTATAAATAGGTTAGAGCATCATATTTGTGATGTTCAACATTCTTCACCAAAAGCCAAGGGGTTAAGTTTTAACACATTTTCCAGCTGGATTTTGAATATTCTTCAATTTCCAAACTTGGAACATCTTGGAACCACGTCGTCTTATACTGATTGGTGGTTTCAACCCCTCTCAGTTGGGATTATTATTCCCAATATATGGACAAATAACAAATGTTCCAAACCACCAACCAGACATCCAATTATAATCCAATAAACAGAACATTGTTATAACAACATGGGAGTACCCAATTATAGCCAAATAAAAACTACTGGGGACCCAATGAAGCCCATGAAATATCAGTATCATTTCCCAATGAACTCCTCATGGTTTCAACGCCTGGACCGTCACCCGACATTTAAAAACCTTCGCCTTCCTCATCGGTCAGCCGGTGCACCAGGTCCGCCACCTTGCTGCCGAAGATGGCTGCGAGCTCCGCACGGGTGGCCTCGGTGTCCTGGCGTGGTGGGAGGTGGGGGGTGGGATGGAAAAATGGTGGGAAAATAGTGGAAAATTGCTAAAAAAAGGTGAACATGGCAGGGAAATGGTGAAAAATGATCGGAAATAGTCGGAAAATGATGGACACATGGCGGCACCTGCTGGAAGACGATTTTTTTTCTCGGTGGCAAATGCTGGGGACTGCAGGAACTTATGGAAGATGCTGACTGGGAAAGTCGAGGAAATCCCTCTCCAAAGCCAGGGATTCATATCAGTCTTCAGGTGAGTTTTTCCAAAAATGGGACATTCCCAGATCCAACACATTGTCATCATATCCCATATTTACCATGATCAATTGGCGTCCATCCAACATCTATGAAAAACAATGTCCAAAACGGGCAGCAGCGATGTATCGGTACCAATCATTCTGGCATATTCTGCCATTTATCATTCACACAATCTGGCTACATTATATTAATTCACTAATCTGGGATAAAACATATTATGGGATACTTACCCCTAACCATTGTTCCAGGCTCGGTCGCAGTGAGGTCGCTATAATTGATCCAAACACTATAGTACCAACGGTGCATCCACCTGGCCCCGCCCCCCGCATTTGATCCTCCAAGGTGTCATGCAAGAGGGCCGCCTGCAGCGTGGCCAGATCTCGCACACCGGACTCTGCCAGGATGCGAGCTACGGCCAGGGGATGATTGATGTAGGGAGTCTGCTGGGGATTCCTGGGCGATGGCCCCGGAGGTGTAGGGTTAAACATGGTTAAACTATGTTCAACCGTGCAAGAAAACAAACAACATCTAGGGTTCCGATTCCTGGCAATTTTTCAAGGGGATCTCCCGAGCAAAAAAATACAGGGCAAGAAACAGGGCTTAAGTTTAAGGAGGGAGCAAGTATTTGGCCATGATTTCCGAAACGCATATTTCATGCAACCCTGGGTGATCTCGAGTGATCTCAAGTGATCTCAAGCATGGCATGACATGGCAAGGTTTTCTTAAACCAGGCCAGCTGACCCAGCTGTGGATAGAAATCCAAAGCAAAGTCTGGACCAACGTGTTTCACAAACCACCTCAATAAAGAGAGAAAAACAAAACAGAAGGTGCCAAACTTCGAGACATGTTCAAAACCAACAGTTCCGAGCATCTTCCGAGTTTGATGCCTGTGCTTCATTGCCGCGAAGTGGATGGTTCGGAACAGGGTCTTCAATGCATTGGGCGTTCCCTCAGTGGTCGTGCTGGGAAGAATCTCCGGCGGCTCGCTCAATGGTAAGCCAGGCTCCTGGTTAGCTTGCAACAGCTCGCGGATTCCGGCCCATCCTTAAAAGCAGCCGCGCCAATCCGGCCATGGTCAACCTACGTGGGGTCCAAGGGTCCAACCTTCAGTGGCTGTCAATACAGTATCCTTTTCGTTTCCAATGTGCCAATGGGATCCCAACATGTTTTTTTCACCAACACCCCTAAATTCCAAGTGTACTGTCCAACGGTGGGCCGGGAGACCAACTCTCCTATCTTCATGCGATTCCATAGCGGCTGTTTATTTGTTGTAACTAAGAGAAAAATCGTCATTTTCATTGATTAGAAGTTCTAACTTAGAAGTTCATATAGAAGTTTTATCCCCATTGTTGTTGGAACTATCCTATTTCTCTACTCAAATCAATTAAATTCAAAAACCAAACACGCCATTTCGGAATTATTGCCCTTCCAATCGCTTTGTTTATGGTGAGCTGTTGGAGTTGAAGCACGTTTCTACATCAAAATAACTGGTATTGCCAGAGCGGGTATAGCTGTATCTTCATCCCCCCAAGGAGGAGGTACTGATCATTGTTGGTCTCTCCCAATCTCTGTTGGTTGCATGGCCAGACAATTCCACTGCCCATTGGCAGTCGCTGATTTTCGGTGAATCACATCCCCCTATAGTATTGAATATCACCCGACCACACCCCACCCAGATTTTGTGGTTTGGCGTTGGGTCTATATATTCCTCTTGGCGTCCCATATGATTGTTATCTAATATTGGGGGGATGGGGTTACACCGGCCAAACCCTCCAAATCCAAGATGTTTTTCCCATGCACTGTCAGGCATTCAAGATGAATCCCCGACGTGTTCTTCAACAAAACATCCTTTGTCAAAATGAACCTTTGAAGGGATGTTTGTGTTTGTGGACAGTTGTCCACCAAGCTTCGCCAAGATGGATTTGTCGGAAAATAGGGTACCCAAACATCCATCGGTTGATAGACATATTCCCAATTTTTAGTAGTACTCCAATTTCAGACACACACACACACACCAATATCCCATAAATGTCTAGAAAATCCCATTGGTTCATAGTTAAGAATTTATCAAATTCCGTTAAAAACACATTAATGGCTACTTGGATCACAGTAACCTAGATCCATTTAAAAATTCCACTAAATGTTTACAAAATCCCATTGGTTCATAGTTAGATAGATCGTATTAAATTCGATGCAAACCATATAAAAACATATAAAAACATCATTAAACCACCTTTTTCTCCCAGATTTCTCCAAGTCTCCAATGGTTCCCGCCGCGTCGGGGTCCACGGCCTCAGGATCCACGTCGCAGGCATCGTCCGCATCGTCGCGGCCCTGGTGACAGACCGAGGTCACGCGCGGCTGCGCGTTGTTGTTGTCCACCTCGGTCCGTGGACCATCGGTGATACCATAGTGATAACAGTAGTTAAATAGTGAATAAGTGTTAGTACTGGAATAACACAGTGATAATTGTTAGTACTGGGAAAAAGTGATAACAGTGATAAATGATACCATACCAAGTGATGGGCTTGAAAAATGGTGATTAATTGTTGATACTGGGAAAACAGTAGTTAAATGATGGGACAATGATTGGTTAATAATGGGAATATGATGCTGATATATGATTATGCCATAAACCACCAATTTGGGAATGGTTTTTACCACCTATAAAAATTGTGATGACTGGGGATGGTTTTTGGCATTGTTTTTTTACCAACATTATTAGTGATGATGATCAGCGTTCATCTAATCTAACGGGACATGTGGTTGAACACGGCCGTTCGGAATCGATGGGCAAAAACACTACTCACCACATGATTAAGCCCCAAGAACAATGAGTTCATCATGGGCGGATATGATGTTTTATCTGGTTCTATTGGGTTGGGGATGGTTGGGCACTCCATTCAATGATTGTGATGACAAGACAATAACATACAATAAGAATGACATTGTGTCATGGTATAGCCCCATTCTTCGGAGAATTCCAACCTGTATGAAGGTGTCCACGTGTGGCAGCAGCTTCTGAATGGCCAAGGGGAGCTTCTCTAGGGAGTCGGCCACCTAGCATCTTGACTACCGGCTACGTGGTTTCGTCAGGCTTCATCGGGCTCAATGATACCCTCTGGTAATTTACATAGCTATTGAAAATGGCCCAGTTGAAATAGTGGATTTTCCCATGAAAAATTGTGATTTTGCCATAGTTATGTCAGTTTACCAGAGGGCACCTCAAATCCAGGAACATCCCAAGAAAACTTCAAACAATCCAACCATTTGCAATCAGCAACACTCTGAATGGATTGGTTCTAGAAATGGCAGACTGCGATTGCAAACAAAATCACGATATACAATCAACAAAAAGTTCTGTCTGGCCGTCCAAATGGGGTGGTTGAAGTACAGTTTGTGCCATTTTGGATCATTTTGGGACACCAGGGTGTCACCACAGGCCATCCACAAGCTATCCGGATGCACCTCGACCTTGCTCACGACGCGACCCTGGACGCCACGCTCTATTGCTCGGCGGTAGACCGTCTCTTCCCGTGCGTGCACGTACATCAGCACCACCCGGACTTCCGGCAACTTCTGCCTTGCGTTGCGTTGATCATTGGGCATTGAGAATTCATTGGCGATCCATCCCCAAAACCAAGACTTGGAGTCTCAACGATTTGCGAGGGGGAACGTCGGCATTTGAGGGGGTGACATGTACACCAACCAAACTCGTCCAACTGACCCTTTGGAACACCACACCTCAGTCAACCTTGAGTGTCATATAAACGTCAGGAAATCATTTGAAAACCTCTTCCGGACAACAACATTGGCAATGAATTTGACCCCAACTGGATGCCCCTGGCCTGATCTTTTGCAAGACTCTGGAGTACCAGGATCCATGTCTCAAAGAGCTGTCCACTACCATATTTCCTGGTTGTCAACTTCACTTGACGATTTCTTCAGGTCCAGTGCTCAACTTAGACACATTTCTCAGATGAACGTTCTTCAAGCAAAGGGTCTGTAATCATTTTGGGGTTCACAACCACCACCCTGAACATCCCCCAACTATCAAGTTTGGCAGAAGGAAACCCTTGAACAACCAAAAAAAATGCAAATTGCAACGCTTTTGAGACACCCAAAAGTGGACCAATTCACAAGTTCCACGCCCAGCTTCGCTTCTTCTGCAAGGCATACATCAGGCTCAGTTCTGTCAGCAAACCTGCTTCCAGTCGGGTCATCACAGCAGCGCAGGCACGGTTATGTTCGATGTAGCCATGATATTCTGGGAGCTGAGCTGCTATTCGGTCAGGATTGATGTAAACCTGAGGATCTGCTCTTGGCCGCACTAGAAAAAAACAGATCATCACACTGTCTCCGTCTTGGTTGCGCAGGAAAAAGACAAAACATGCGGCTAGGTTTTTGACAAAACGTGATTGGCTTGTGTAGTCCAGCTGCAAAGTCATGAAGAGGAAGGATGTCCTTCTCCTTCATCCAGCGGATCACATGACTTTTGCCCACACCCATAGCACCAGCAGTGAAGATCAATCGTGGTTCCCTGCTGGAGATGCCAATGCTGTCAACCAGTTGGGTGACTAAACCTTGGCACGTGGAGACCGGAATCAGTGTTGATCCAGCTCCTGATTGGAGGTGCAGTTGGGGTGAAAATCCTTGGTATAACCATGGCATTTGACATTGCCACCATAAGTTGTGATATGGGCCCCCTAAACATTCTATAACTTTGATGAAATTACATTCATGACATTTCCTGACCAAGGGAAATCCAGAACAACTGGTACCCCCGCTGGAATGCTTACAAATCCACCTGCCTGATTCCACGGCATGGCTGACCTTGAAATCGTGACCAAATACTCTGCCCAAAAATAGCTGTGCGTCACACTCCACCTCCACTATCTTCATCAATTTTCCATCTATTTTCCAACCTTTCTTAAAAAATCTTTATAGATCTATCACTTCACCCGGCTTGACCTCCCAAGCTTGCCACCACAGTGGTCCCTCTACATCTAGCTGCCCAACCCACTGGCCCATTCTTCCAAGTCACTGTCCTGAAATCGCTGCCGTTCCACGATGTAATGTCCGTGGTAGCTCTTATCCACCAAGCGTCGAGCGGAAAACAAAGGGCCATCAGCCAGCTCTGACGCCTTGAACAACGGCGCGGTGGGGGCGTGGGTGGGGAAGGTTGGTGGTTGGTGGTTGGTGGTTAGGCCACCCCTCCGAAAAAGAGTCCCAAAGCCAAAAACAAAAATCTTGTGATGTAGAGCAACCATGTGGTAAACCCAACAATAGCTGGTTGGTGGCTTTAACCATCTTGAAAAATATGAAAGTCAATGGGAAGGAAGGATTATCCCATATATGAAATGGAAAATAAAAATGTTCCAAACCACCAACCAGGTTAGTTGGGTGATATTCCCATATACATCCACAAAAAAAAAACTGAAATTCAAGGTGGGAAAATCTCCCATAAAAACCGTGGAATTTCCCAGCTAGAAACCTACACAAAAAGGAGTCCCGAGGTCAAAAACAAAAATCTTGTGCTGTGGAGCAGCCATGTGGTAAACTCAGTAATATATATATATATAATGATTACTTTGCGGAGGTTTTCTCAAAAGAGTATATAATGTGCAAGATCCAGTAATTACATAAACCTCCCATGACTGGGGATGGTTTAGTTTACACCACCCATTGAAATGGTCATATTGGGCATGGCTTGTACTTGGCTTTACCACAGTATTGATCTTCTGGACTTGGCATTTTCCAAAGCAGAGGAACACTCGGGATCTTCACCGCCCCAAAACAGCTCCTTAAAAAATATGACTCGTAACAGGGGATCAACCCGGGTATGGATGAAAGGGAAGCATGTTCAAACCAAAAAAAAAGAACCGTTTTGTCAAAAGGCTTCAGCAGCTGTCTAGTAGGTCCCAAGCAGCACGCTGTGCAAGAGTGGCGCAGGTAATTTGTTCCACATTCATCTTGAAATGTCAATCAGAAACTACAAATCATAGGCTGCTGACGCATACACCGCCACATGAAAGACTGCGACGGCCACTTAGCAATGAACTCCTACCTCGGGAATTGAGAACTTCAAAAAGTCTTGAAGAGTGCTTGGAAAAGTCAATCCTTCGAGGCTCTGATCGAATAATCTCCAACGGTCAAGCTTTGAAGGCTGTTTGGAAAGCTCACTCCTTCGAGGCTCTGGTTGAACCCAGTGCCAAACGTCAAGCTTTGAAGACTGCTTGGAAAGGTCAGTCCTTTCAGGCTCTGGTTGAATCGTGTTCCAAACGTCAAGCTTTGAAGACTGCTTGGAAAGGTCACTCCTTCGAGGCTCTGGTTGAAGCGTGTTCCAAAGGTCAAGTCCTGAAGACTGCTTGGAAAGGTCACTCCTTCCAGGCTCTGGTTGAAGCGTGTTCCAAAGGTCAAGCTTTGAACACTGCTTGGAAAGGTCACTCCTTTCAGGCTCTGGTCGAACAAACTCCCAAACGTCAAGCTTTGAAGACGGCTGGGAAAGGTCACTCCTTTCAGGCCCTGTTCAAAATGATCGCCCAAGGTCAAGCTTCGAAGAGTGCTTGGAAAGGTCACTCCTTCCAGGCTCTGGTCAAAAGAAGCGTCAAAGGTCAGGCTTAGAAGACTACATGGAAAGGTCACTCCTTCGAGGCTCTGGTTAAACAATCTTCCAAAGGTCAAGTTTTGAAGACTGCTTGGAAAGGTCTCTCCATCCAGGTGCTGGTGGCAGAAAATACCAAAGGTCATGCTTTGAAGACTGCTTGGAAAGGTCACTCCTTCGAGGCTCTGGTTGAAATCATCTCCGAAGGTCAAGCTTTGAAGACTGCTCGGAAAGGTCACTCCTTGGAGGCTCTGGTTGAATCGTGTTCCAAACGTCAAGCTTTGAAGGCTGCTTGGAAAGGTTACTCCTTCGAGGCTCTGGTTGAAGCGTGTTCCAAAGGTCAAAACCTGCACACCGCTTGGAAAGGTAACTCGGTCCAGGCTCTGGTCAAAATCATGTCCGAGGGTCAAGTTTTGGAGAGTGCTTGGAAACGTGACTCTTTCCAGGCTCTGGTTGAACACATGGCCAAACGACAAGCTTTGAAGACTGCTTGGAAAAGCCACTTCTTCCAGGCTCTGGTTGTACTGCGTTCCAAAGGTCAAGCTTTGAAGACTGCTTGGAAAGGTCACTCCTTTCAGGCTCTGGTTCAGGCCCTGGTCAAAAAAATCGCCAAAAGTCAAGCTTCGAAGAGTGCTTGGGAAGGTCACTCCTTCCAAGCTCTGGTTGAAGAAATCACCAAAGGTCAAGTTTTGAAGACGGCTTGGAAAGGTCACTCCTTCAAGGGTCTGGTTGAACCGTAATCCAAAGGTCAAGTTCTGAAGACGGCTTGGAAAGGTCACTCCTTCAAGGCTCTGATTGAACCCATTGCCAAACGTCAAACTTTGAAGACGGCTGGGAAAGGTCACTCCTTGGAGGCTCTGGTCGAAAAAATCGCCAAAGGTCAAGCTTTGAAGACGGCTTGGAAAGGTCACTCCTTCGAGGCTCTCGTTCAATCGTAATCCAAACGTCAAGTTTTCGAGGCTCGAAGGGAGGTTGTACAAGTACTCCCCATCGGATGCCCCTAGCATCTCAGTCAGACCCTCGAATGCAAACTCTTCCTCAACTCCTCGGACATGGCCCGAGGCATAGCGCCATGCAGCACACATATCTGTAGGAACATAAGTGCAGGAAAGCGTCACATCCTGACCTGCAATGCCCTGCTCTTGCAATGTTTGGCCAAGCACAAGCGGTGAGGCAAGGTACTGCAGTGCAAGTCTTCCCCCCCTCTTTGGCGGAAGTTGCTCCAAAACCATCTGCCGCACTTCCCGGCCCAAGGTAGAAGGAGGGAGGGTCAACTTGCAACCTTCACCATTCAGGCAAAGCACTTGAAGGTTAATCATTTCGGAGCCACCAGCTGATGGCTCCAGGTAGCCACTCATAGCCTCTTTGGGCTGAGCAGAAATTGAGTCAATGCTGGGCCCAAATGTTGCAGGCAAAGGTTGAACCTGGTTATAGCAAGTTGTGCTTCGAACCTCTTCAAATCAACTCGCTCGCTCATGGGCCCTCAACTTCTCATGGAAAACTGGTCACCGCACGCCCAAAATCTTCCATTCCAAATCGTATCTCCAATCATCGAACCAAAATCACACTTTGAAGAGCAGAGACATCCCACAGTGACCCCATATGACAAGGGCAAGTAGGAAGTGTTCAACAACTTCTTCACCCATTTGGATTAGTGGGATGATATACCACAGTTATATCGGGATAATTGGCCACAAAAAAATTACATAGTTTGATATTCCCAGAAACGATGACTATCGTTGACTACAGTAACATCCCTCAATAGCCCCCCGTGTGGTTCATGATTTTGCCGTGCAATACATGTGCCCAAAAAGTGATAAAAATCGACAGATCCAACATATATCTAATTTGGCCAAGGATCCAGTTGGGCATAATTTTGCTTCGTGCAAATCTCCCAGTTGTAATTTTTCGGTGGAAAACTGAACGTGGTCAAGTTCGCCGGCACCAGCTTGGCATCCACCACGCGATTTTCGCGCCGCGGTTTCCATCTCTTCGATCCTGTTCGAAGGACCTGTGGCAGTGGGAATGCTGAGGCTCTCCCCTATAGAGTTGGGTGTGTCACTTTTTTGCCAGTGAAGACCACTGTTTCTTGACAAAAGAAACCAACTTGGGTCAATGTGACTTACCCCAATATCGAGTCTAATCGAATCATGGTGGTGAACGCATGCGGTTTTGGGATTTTCAACAATGGATTGGTTTGAGGAAAAAAAATTGAAGAAACCCTATAGATTTTTCATCACCAGTCTAACTGAGGAAGGTGCTAAACACCCTGGAAGGGTCGTAGCTGCTGTGTGGTAGGTGGAAGATCGGCAGCTAAATCCTCGGCCCCAGTGCCCACCAAGCCACCCGCAGCCTTTTTGGCTTCACCAACTTTCCGGCTGACGCTGCAAATGCACGATATTCATTGTTATTCTATGGCCCTATGGCTATATCAAAAAAATATTATTAATATATAATTAATATATAGCAAATCAATGTAGGTACACATATGCCTTCATGCACCTGTTCATAAAATGTGTTATGAAAAATGTGTTATGACCCATAGCCATGTGGGTGTTCCTAAAATAGGGGAACCCTACACCATTGGTTTCCCCATTAACCAAGATTCTGGCACCTGCTGACTCAAGAAACTTCCATGTCATATGGTTGATTATTAATTAATTATATTCTGAGCATAAAGTTAAATCTGTTTTTTGCTGGTCAATTCCATGTTTTCCACATGTTAAGTAGAAGAACTTTAATGTAACCCTTTTTTTGGTGAGCCAGCCTCACATATCACCCCCAAATTGAAATGGGTACCCGGGTACCCTCCGGTAATCAAACATGGCTCGCGGGAAAATCCTCCATTTAGTTCAAAAGTTTTCCCAGCTATATTAAATCTCCATTTACAACACATTTTCCAGGCAGCCATGTTTGACATAAATCCCCTATAATCCCCATTATTCCAAAATATGTTCCCTCTGTATTCCCATTAAACCACTATTCTTGGTGGCTAAATCTTGTTAAACTCACCATTTTCAGTGGTTAAACTTCGGTTAAACCTTCATCTTTCATGCTTGGTTATATCCCCATGATATTCTCAATCACCCCCTGAAACCACCTGAAACCTCAACCCAGCATCTAATTTCCCGTCCCGACCAGGCCGACACAGGTTGCGCCCGAGATCGGCCAGGGCGTTCGGCCAGGACGCCCACGCGCCGTTCCAGGCCGGCCGCGGTCGAGGGAAGATCCATGGGCCCTTGAATTGTGCTGGGGAACAAGTGAAAATTGCCAATTTGTAGATGATGATTTATGATAATTTTTAGTTAAGTAACCGACCTAAGCGCGATTTTCCTATGATTTTGTTTGCTTGGATGGTCAGTGGATTGGTTGAAGGGAAACCTCAGCTGGAAACCATGGTTTTGCCAATCAAGTATGCAAATTCCCTGTAACATTTCCTTTAAACTTAAACCAATCCAGTGAATGGTCTGGCTCAGAACAGAACATATGAGTGATGTAAAATCGTCAAACCTGAGACGCATGTTCATATGGGTCAATACCAAAAGCTATCCCATCTTTCGGTCGTTGGGCTACCTTGGATCCTTGACATGTGCCCATCCTGTGTAATTGCCTCCTGTTTTGAAGATAGAGAGTGTGCAGGTGGAGTTATGGTAAGCTGTGTTTTCCTGCGGCTTGCATTGCAAAGTCTAGAATTGACGCACATCCATCTTCCATTCGATGCTGGATATGTGTTCTGTTGATTTCACTTCTGTGATTGCTGTGGCCAGTTGGGTTCAGCCAACACCAAGAGCGCAACATCAGTCTGCCCATAATCACGTAGCCCATATAACTTTGGCAGTTTGTAACGAGCAGTGCCCGAATCATTCAGGGGCACAAAAACCACACGCAAACAAGTCTCATTTGTAGCATGGGAACTTCAAATGACAAAGAAATTGCATAGTTGATTGTGCATCCTACTTGGTATATAAACAGTTAGTAATGTCAGTAGCCAATGGCAGAGGAGCTGGAATACACATCCAAATGAGCTGCTTCCCTTGGCCTGCCAGTTGGAGGCTGCATTTCTGTGGCAACCATTGGCAACAGCAAAACATATTTTAAAAACATCCATGAAAATCCACGACCAATAATAAATAATAGTGGTATAGACGGTATAGACAATTATTGGAACATCGCCTCTGCATCGTGTTATATCTCTTCGTCTTTTGTTAGTAAATGCCATTACCTGTTGCTGTTGTTTATTGATATTTATTATATTTATGGTGCATGTTTCGCACCAATCCAACCCCTGGCACCAAACAACGCTCTCCACCTGAAAATTTGCTTCGTGAGCGCATGCAGCAAGGGCCTCGGTGGCGAGATCATCAAAGTTAGTGCTGCTTAGAGGCCTGTGGGTTTATATAATCTTATGTATAGGGCTGGTATTGATTTATAGTATGCCACTCTATTTTCCACCGCAAAAATATGTTCGAATGCTACCCCCAAAACAGGGTTCCACCTAGAAGGAAAGATAAATCGCCAACGGAAGTAGATATTCGTGAGGCTTCTGCCTTGGGAAGCATGAACCGGGGCTTCCGACTTGCTTTGACTCTTTGTCCTCAGGAGATGGATGGTCAGTTGATAAATACATATATATATATACATATATAGATATACATATACATATATATATATATATATAGATATAGATATTTTTAAAATCCTCTTGGGAGTTCACCTAAAGGGTTGAGGTGTCTGATTCTATAGGTACAAAATCAAGACCCCCAAGAAAAAATGTTTTTTCCATATATATATATATAGATATATGATAAGGACCCCCAAGAAGAACTCAACTGTACACAATCGAGGCCTCCAAGGTTCAGTCTGTGTGAATTTTTAAGTAAAAACGGGGTCTACATTCTACATTAGGTAGGCTGGGTTGGCTACATAATCAAGAACCCCAAGCTTAAACCTCAGAAATTTAGGTAAATTTATGTAAAACCAAACCACTTCTGTGTGACAATGTAGTTGAGACCCCAAAGTCTGTACAGCCTGATCTTGTTTTTTGAAGGGGGTTCAGTCCCTGATTTTATAGCTCAAAAATTAGGGTCGGTGAGGTTCGAGCTAGTGACTTTGGGGGGTACAGTCCCTGATTACATAATGATACCAAGTATTACCAAATGCTTGCCTGAACATATTGTTTTGCACAAGACCCTAATTGTATACAGGACCCTGTCAGTGTTTGTTTTTAAGTGTGTTTATTGTTTTTTTTTCCTTTTTTCTGTGTTTTTCTTTGAATGAATAAAAATCCAGCAAATTCCAAAAGAATCCATACGATTCCAAAAGATTTGAGGACAAGTTAGAGTCTGGATGATCCTGGTATAATGTTTTACAATCTGTGTTAAACAATTGAAACTATCACCATGTGTGACAATAACTTCCAAATACTTGTAATACATATATTAGGTGTTTATAATGTGACATGGTGCATTATTCTACATGATTCTAATATATTCTAATGCAAGCCAATGCATTACAATGCATCACATCTCATCAAATCACAGGACGTCAAAGTATGTCAGAATAATTCACAATATGTCAATGTATACATGTATAACATCATATAATGATAAAGATTATGATAAGATATATTAGACTACCACACACATTAGATCGCATTGGAAACTTATAACTTTTTTAAAGGAATACATCACGGTAGATGGCGCAACTGTCACCAGTAGATGGACAGGCCCTGCAGGTCTAAATTTTTCCCATTTTTTTTATATGACCCCTAAATAAAGCTATTTTTTTTTGGCCCTTAACCCAGATTTGCCCAGATGGGGCTGACCAAAACCTTTATTCAAAAATTATAGCTGGAAATTGTCAAAAATGATGGATGCTCTTTCTATTCAAAACCTTTACTTAAATTTCTCCAAAATCAACTCCAAATCAACTCATCAAGGGTACCTCCCATGAGGTGCCTCAGCACCAATTAGAGTTTGACCCTGAATAAAGCTACTGAACTTCCCCCTCCCGCTGATCAAGAAATGAATACTAAATCAATACTAAATCAATACTAAATCAATACTAAATCCATGAAATGAATATTAAATCAATACTAAATCCATGAAATGAGTACTAAATCAATACTAAATCCATGAAATGGGTACTAAATCACTACTAAATCCATGACATGAGTACTAGATCAATACTAAATCCATGACATGAATACTTAATCAATATTGAATCCATGACATGAATAAATACTAAATCAATACTAAATCCATGACATGAGTACTAGATCAATACTAAGTCCATGACATGAGTACTAGATCAATACTAAAACAATTGCTGGATTCCTTTTTTTTTTAAATTGCATTTTATGTATTTGTTTTCAATTGTGGTAATTTAAAACCTTTACATACAAACAAGTTTTATGGTGGCTTTAAGTTTATTTAGGGCAAGAGAGGGGGGGGTGCCCTATTTATAAATCATAGGTGGACATTAGTGTTCTTTTAGTACAAAATCAGGACCTGCAGCCTCCCAGTCCATATGGGGCCTATACAGAATAGGGACCCTTGACTCCTGGATTTGTTGTTTGGGGGCTTATATATATATTATATATGTGATGGCAAAAATTGAATTCAACAAATATCTCATGATAACTTTGATATATAATAGGTGCCAGAATTATAGAACGGAAGTTGAGGAGTACGAAGGTACGGTTAATTACCGTACCTTGTTGTTCCATAATTCTGTTTTCCACGGAAGGTATGAAAAAATCTTAACTTACTCCTATTTTTTCATCGTTCTATAATTCGGGTTTGTTCTATAATTGTGTTTTCCCCAATTGCTTCCACATTTACCAGTCTCGTTCTATAATTAATTTTTCGGTTCTATAATTTTTTTTGCGCCAACCGTTCTATAATTCTGGTTTCTGTGTCACTTTTTTCTGGGGTCCCAGAAAGGTACATAAAATGACGCGAACTATAGAACAGACAAATTAATTATAGTACAGGATCCGAATCCGCGCGGAATCGGGACGGAGGAATACGAAGGTACTGTATTTTACCGTACTTTTGTACTCCTAATTTCGTTCTATAATTCTGGAGTGACTGTATATTTTAATTTATTTTAGGCATTTTTAGGCGAAGGAAGTTTAGAAGTCAAACTTCCGACAATATGGACAGATGAAAAGCAGAGCTGGGCAGAGGCAGGGAGAAGAGAAGAGCAGAAGAGAGAAGATGATAGAAGAGAAAGAGTCAGAAAAAAGAAGATACAGATGCGCGAAAATAGAAAAGGAAAGCCACGAAACACTCTGTTTTTCCAATGATTTGTGGCTCCGGAGAGTTGAAAAGTAGGCTCGCTAAAGCGGTGGGTGCGGAGCCATCTGGCCAGATGAGAGATGAAAAAGTGCACGCCGTTGTGGCGCGAAGCACATTTCGAAGTCAAAATGCGCAAAGCACACCTATGTCGGACCACTTTTGGAAGTTGAGATGTCGAAAAAGTGCACGCCGTTGTGGCGCGAAGCACATTTGCAAGTCAAAATGCACAAAACGCACCATGCTCGGACCACTTTTGAAAGTTCAGATGTCGAAAAAATGCACGCTGTTGTGGCGCAAAGCACATTTCGAAGTCAAAATGTACAAAACACGCCAGTGTCGGACCACTTTTTGAAGTTGAGATGTCGAAAAAGTACACGCCGTTGTGGCGCGAAGCACATTTCGAAGTCAAAATGTACAAATCACACCATGCTTGCGCCACTTGTGGAGGTTCAGATGTCGTTTCGCGTGGCAGGCGCGAGGGATTGTGCACCTCTTCAAAAGTGAGCAAGACGTGAGGGTCTTGTCGCATGTCCAAAAACCATGGCAGGCGTGGGACATTTGAAGAGGACCTGCAAAGATGCATTTTCCGTGGCAGGCGCAGTACACAAGACATGTTCATGAGAGATGTTAGGAGGTCAGGGCGCTGATTTCCTGAGATGGGTTGCATCTTGGAGCATCGGATCTGTAGGTTTGCTAAAATGATTTTGCGTGACGGGTGCAGCACTTCGTATGACCTGGCATCATTTTTTCGTGGCAGGCGCAATACTTTAGACAGGTGGAATGGAAAAATCGCAAAACGCATTGGTACGAGGCTGTCAGCGCTGCACTTAACTTTCTATTTTTGAAGGAAGTCTTGCAGAATTGCTTTGTTTTTGATGTTGTCATGTTCAAAAATTGAAAACGTCTCGCAGAATTGCTTCGTTTTGGATGTTGTCAAGTTCAAAAACTGCAGAAGTCTCGCAGAATTGTTTCGCGTTTGACGTCGTTAAGATCAAAAATTGAGGACGTCTCGCAGGCTTGCTTAGTTTTCAAGCTTGCAGATAGACAGGTAGATAGATAGACAGACAAACAGAGAGAGAGAGAGAGAGATAGATAGATAGATAGGTAGGTAGACAGGTAGATAGATAGATAGATCGATAGATAGATAGATAGGTGGATAGAAAGATAGATAGATAGACAGACAAACAGATAGATAGATAGATAGACAGATAGCTAGATAGCTAGATGGGTAGATGGATGGATAGATAGATAGATAGATGGATGGATAGATAGATAGATAGACAGATAGATAGACAGATAGATAGACAGATAGCTAGAATAATAGATAGATAGATGGATAGAAAGATAGATAGATAGACAGACAAACAGATAGATAGATAGATAGATAGATAGGTAGATAGATAGATAGATAGATAGACAGCTAGAAAGATAGGTAGATAGATAGATAGAGAGACTGATAGATAGACTGCTAGATAGACTGATAGATAGATAGATAGATAGATGGATAGATAGATAGATAGATAGGTAGGTAGACAGGTAGATAGATAGATAGATAGATCGATAGATAGATAGATAGGTGGATAGACAGATAGATAGACAGATAGCTAGAATAATAGATAGATAGATGGATAGAAAGATAGATAGGTAGATAGCTAGATGGGTAGATGGATGGATAGATAGATAGATAGATGGATGGATAGATAGATAGATAGACAGATAGATAGACAGATAGATAGACAGATAGCTAGAATAATAGATAGATAGATGGATAGAAAGATAGATAGATAGACAGACAAACAGATAGATAGATAGATAGACAGCTAGAAAGATAGGTAGATAGATAGATAGATAGAGAGACTGATAGATAGACTGCTAGATAGACTGATAGATAGATAGATAGATGGATGGAGATAGATAGATAGATAGATCAGTGGCTTCGCTCTGCCATCCGTGATTCACAACCACCAATCTCCCATAGGTTTCCTATTTTTGAAACTTCCGCCACCGCCTTGTGCGGTACTACTGGTATTACCATCTATGATGTTTTATATTCTTGAATATTCTTTTACAATTAAGATTTATAAAGACAGGTCAAGCTAGCTTGAATTCTTCTTGGGTGTATACCACCCTCGGTGACAAGGAACAGTACAACATCACAACCTGCTGTACAAGGAACAGTACAAGGAACAGTACATGGCTTATATACAAAATTATATATATATATATATGTATACATTTGTGTAAAATCAAGACCCCCAAGCCTCACAGTGGAAAAAAAGGAACAAGGGCTTGATTTTAGGGCGCATTTTAGTATAGTACAACGATTGAACCCCAAGCCTTGCCTCGAGTCTAGCATAAAATGGAAATCAATACAAAATCAGAACCCCCAACACCATATGCACCAAGCTAGCCTTAATATGCCTTAATATAAAACGTAGACCTCCAAGCTCGAGTTTGACACCCTGAGACCTGTATAGATTCACAGCCCTCCCCAGTGGAGCCCAACCACAGGGAAAAATTGTATAAAATGAACCTGTTTCTGGAGCTCAACCCCCTTGTTTTTCTTACAGCTATATCCAAGGGGGATTATATATATACATATACACACTACCGTTTGTTTGGCAAAGCTATGGTATAGATGGCCTGTTTATAGATGATCTATGATGGTTTATCTAGTAAACATGGTGATTTCCATGGCTATGTCAAATAACCAGAAGGTAGTTTTCCTATGAATTTTGGATTGACCGTGCTGGAACAGATGAGCATTGTGAGTTTAGCCAGCACACAATCCTGGTAGAAGAATGCTTGCGTGCTAAAACTCACAAGTCCCCAATTCCATTGGTCAAACGGGTTCAATATTGAACGTGGGCTATATTCTATCACCTTCAAGGTTGCTGCAAATTTGGATCGCTTCCCCACCACCCTGCCCCATTCGTTCAACAATAAACCAATAAACATAGCTGGACTGGAGGGATGTACGCGTGAATGCCTTACAGGCCTTACATATCCATTGTGAAATGTTGGCCGGTACTTGGCGTAGCTTGCTGTAAATCCATTGGGAATGATGATCCGCGTGGGAAAAAAACACGTAGGGCCAGGCATTCCCAGGTCTTGCCTTGCCAAGGCCCATAAACTGTTGGAGACACTCTGTGGTGATACCTGGCGCATAGCTCTTTCTTCTGCCAACACGGGACAGTGGAAATACGGCAAGAGCCGGCATTTCAACCAGTTCAACCACAAAATGCACTGCACCCACCTCTGTTTGCATCTCAAATTGGCTGCATAGTTGCTCCTCAATTCTTTGAAATCCTTGGTTTGCATGCCTGTAGCCCTGCAACCACCCATCACCCCATGGAAATTGTGGCAAACTAGGCTCGTTACATTGACATTGTACTCTAAGGATCTTAAAGTGATATACAACAATCATCAACCCCTACACATGTTTGGACTTGCGCTGTGATGATACATAGGAGGAATAAACAAACCAGTGCACACACTCGTCTGTCTTTTCAGGACATGACCAAGCTTTCAGTGAGCTCCGAACCAAATTAAATTCCGACACCCAGAATCAGAGGAACAAGACACAAAAAAAAAAACATCAACACCCACGAACCCATGGTTCACGTAATCGGCTTTATTTTGGGTACCGCACCATCCGATGGGATTTGTGGTGCCCCATACCACGTCTTGAGGTCGCCACGGCTGTCAGGAGGGAGCTATCCCAGCTTCGCCATGCGGTAGTAGCCAGCCACCTGCCGCAGGCACGCTGGCGGAGTGGGTTGGAATGGCTATGGGTTGAAGATCCAGACTGATTGGCAAAATCATCATCAACATTCATGAACAAAACATTCATAAAGTGAAAAACCATATGCAAAAGCTCAGGTAGCACCAACCCAAGCAGCAGCCCAGCCGCACGAAGTGCCAGGCAGCACAGCGACAGTCGCCTTTTCAGGCCTGCATAGCCAGTTGAGGTCTCAGCGCCCGCCCTGGGCCAATAGCGTCGGATGACGCACATTGAAAAGGGAGCATGGGAAAAGGTGCATGGCATGCAACTTCCACGGAGGGAAATTCTTAGCCTCAGGTGAACTGCATACCCGGTGGCGCATTCACCACACGCACCCCATGTTCATCAAAGAACTGCATGGCGTCATCGCCTGGAACCACTAAATCCTGCCGTGAGCAGACAGCGCACGGTTGGAAAATCCTAATCTCTCGGCCACTATCGTACAGCTCATCGCATTCATCATCGCGATGCCAGACTGAGCTTCCATCCTGGATGTGGATCTCATCACCAAGCGGGCATCGACGAACATGCTGTCGCACATCCATTTGAGCTTGGTATCCAGCACCCAAGTCTTGCGTCGCCAGCGCCAGAGCTCCTTGAAGTTCTTGGGCTGCAGCACGCTGTTCCACAAAAGCTCTTCGGGCTCGATCATAGGCAGTGGTCCGGCGGTCATAGGAACCACGCAACTCATCATACATCACCACCAGAACATTGGATCGGTGGTTTCCATGATGCAGATCGCCCTCCAGGTTGTCGATTTGACGTTGGAGTCGCAGCTGGTCAGCTCGTAGTTTCCAGACATAGATGCCAGCGCAGCATAGGGCCAAAATGGCCAGCACCAAGAAGATGGACTCCCAGCTCTTTGAGCTTTCCGTCTTCACCTCCTCGTGCTCAGTAAGGCACATCGCCATTGGGGCGGCAGAGGCACCAGGCAGCTTCATCAACCACCATATCACCATCACCAGCTTGAAGAAATTCTTCCACCAGCATCTCGCAACAGGGGCATCCATCGCCAGAGGCGTCAGGGCATTCTGTACCATGTCCACATAGACCAGGGGCTCAGTGGACTGTGCAAAGTAGGTCTCGGCAGGGACCTTGGCATACTGTGAAACCATGTCATTCTTTGAAAGTTGGGCATTCTTTGGGGTCAGGTCATTCGTTGGAACCTGTTCAAAGTCAGAGACCAGGGCATTCGTTGGCGCCAGGTCATTCTCAATCATTTCTACATCTTCGGAAGCTTCCAGCTCCTCCTTGATGATTCGCAGCTCAGACTGCGGTTTCTTCCTCTTGGTGTTTCGGGATTCCAATTCATGTTTCTTCTCCTCCAGGGATTTCTTCTTTGCGGCCACATAGTTGGGGTCGTACAAGAATTTGATGCGACCATGACGCAGCTTGTCTGCGAGCTGCTGTCGCATGCTATCCTTCGTCATTCCATCAGCCAACTGACGGTCAGATGAAACCCATCTGAGTCCACCTCCAAGTCCAGAGATCTGCTCCTTGACGACGCGGATCTCCAAAGAAGACCGTCTGTCGGTCACATTTGACACCAGACTCTCTCTGTGGTAAGAGTCAAAAAGTGCCTTGGCATCTGTCACCAAGGTTGGTGTCAAGCTCGACTTGAGGTTGAGCAGGGTCGCCAAGGGAACATCAGGTTGAAGAAGATGTTCATAGTACCTGCAGGCAAACTCGGTGGCGTCAGCTGCACATCCTGCCGACTGTGCTTCGGCAGATAGAGAGCTACGTGCAACTCTCGGCAGCTTGAAGGACTTCCAGTCCAAGATGTGGTACACATCTTCCTGGGTCTCCAGCACATGCTTCGGGGCCAACAACACAAAGTAGCCACCCTGTGAAGTCCCGTCGGGTCTGCTGCAGAATGACGCATCAAATGCAGTGATCATCCGAAGGTTTTCCACAGGGCCTAGTGGGGGAAAAGTCAAACCCACATCACTGTTTTCCTTGGCAAACTTGAGAAGGCGGTTGGTGTCCATGGCCGTCTTGAGAAGGCCTTTTGAGACACTGCCGGAGTACACTGAAGTGCTCGCCTGCAGATGCGGGCTGCTTTGAACGGCAGGCCACTGTAAAGAACCCAAGAGCCCTCGAAGCTGTGTCACCTCCGATTGGGACATTTCATGTTCAGGACCCAATCGTGGCAAAGTCATCGGTTTGACTTTATGCAAGTACTCCTTGTGGTGGAGCTTGATCGTGCCATCAGGGCTTTTGGTCATGGTGGCACCGCAGTATTCCAAAGCATCACCATCTTTCCATTCTCTGAAGGAGAACGTGCTTCGCAGCTCTTCAATCACCTTGCAGTAGATTTTGGAAGTTTCATCACCGCATCCAAGCATGTCATCAACATGTAGGCATATCATTCCAACCAAACCACTGTCCAGGAAGGGCTGTTTCGCCTCAGTGTCAGGGCCATAGAGCTCTTCAAAGTCCTGGGCATACACAAGGAAGCAGCACGGGTCCAGCAAGTGCTGGCGAAGTCCAAGTGCTTTGAGTCTTCGGCAGGCTTCCAGCCACCATCGTCTGGGGGCATCCAACTGCCCGTAGCAAGGCTTTCGAAGAAGCATCCTCGTTTCAGGTCCACAGCCAAGTAAGGCCAGAGCGTCAGCAGGAAGTCGAATCCAAATCTTCCGCTCTTGAGGTAGACCTTGAAGAAAAGCAGTTGAAATGTCCGAAGTCCAAAGCTTCCAACCCAAGGTTGAAGACAAAGAAATCAACATGTTCCTGGAAAGTCTTGTAGTGGTTGGACTGCTTGTTTCAAGCTAGCCATTCAGGGCATCCACATCAGCATAGCCCCTCACGATCAACCGTGCCTTAGCTCTAGGGGAGCCATCTGCATTCTTGCTCCAAGTCAAGAGCATCCGAGCCGACAAGGTTTGACTGGGGTCGGCATTGGCATCGGTGTCGAAGATCCAGACATCGTTCTGGAAGAAGGACTGAAGTTCCTTCGCTTTGGCAGCTTGAAACAAAGCTCGTTGATCCACATCCAGGCGTCTCTCATCGACAGTCTTGCTGTTGGTTTTCTTGGCCTTGGTCTTGAGGTCACGGCCAATCTTCTTGGCATTCAAGTTGGCATACATGCCAAGTTCACGCCTGGCTTGACCAGTGATCTGGTACACAGTGGCGCCAGTCCAGGAAGTAGAAGTAGAGGAAGTCTGGCTGCCATCATCGTTGTGGATCTTCAGGCTTCCGTCAGGAAAACGCATCATAGTGATCCGAATTAGATCAAGGTACTTGGGCTCGATGGGCACGTCCTTGTAGTCATGGATGTTCATGGTGTTGCGTCGGGGTGCAATGTGGTGTCTGATCAAACACCCAGCACGCACTTCCCAAAAGTCATGCAACACATCTTTCAAAACGAAGGCACCATCAGAGTCCACATGCCATCCAGAAGGTAGATCATCACCTTGGATGTCCTCCACATTGAACACTTGAGAGTAGCTCTCATGAGGTTCACCAGCAGAAGCAGGCCTCGGATTCGGAGTAGAGGAAGTCGGCTCAGCTTCACCTGGATCAGCTCGATGTCGAGAGCGAGAGCGATGAGCTCTTGATCTGGAGGGCAACACCAAGGTTTCATGTCGTTCATGTTGTTGTCGTAGAAGTCGAAATCGATCATTTGGGCCAGCTGGCTCATACATCGCCACAGTGGCAGGGTCCAAAGGAGGCACTTGTGCCGCAGATCGCACTGAAGGTGGTCGTGATGGCTCCTCACTGGGTTCAGTTTCATCAGCAGTTGGAAGGTGAGGCCGTAGAGGCACGTGTGCAGGAGGAGGCATCACTGCATCGGAGTCATCTTCCACCAAGATCGGTGGCCCACTAGGTTCTGCAGCATCAGGCATCGTTCCAGCCGGAGGTAAGTCCAGGCCTCCAAGTCCATGGCTGGATCAGTGTCATCCAAAGGCGTTGTTGGAGTTGGAGACACATCAAGTTCAGGCCGCTCCACAAAGTCCAAGTGTGGAGATAAGTCCAATCTCGGCCGTTGTCGAGGAGGTCCAGGAGCACCATCATCATCATCAAAGAGCTCCTCTTCGTCGGACTGAACCTCTTCAATGTGCCTTTTGTTGGCACGCTGCAGATCCACAAAGCGGGTAACCCCTCTGGATTTCAGCTCAGAGACAACTCGGCGAGCTTCTTCAAGGCCACCAATGTTGGTGTCAGAGGCCACTCGGTAGTCGGCACGGACATGTTGAGGAGCACATCGAAGCAGCTGGGTCTGATGGGCGATCCAGTAGACGATCGGCTTTCCTTCGGCATCATCTTCACGAAGGATAAGCCGAGCAGGGCCTTTCCATCTGACCTTCACCAAATCAGCTGCACGTGCATCACGCCAGTACCAACAAATCTGGCCCGGCTGCAAGAGCATGTTTGTGCCAGAGTAGCGCCTGAGAAGTGCTCGTCGAAGTCGTTGATCTTGGTCTGCTTTGATCAAGGCTACCTTGGCTGCTGAACGCTTCTCCAGGGTCTGCTCGAAGTTGGAGCCATCCAAGTGTGATGGATTCAGGCCTTCGCTGGTCAGGTTGCCAGCAAAGTCAGGCTGATAGCCCAGGACCCATTGAGTGGGGGAGTATACCCCGCCACCGTTGGAGAAGAGTTCACCTGGGGCAGCACAGAGGCCAAAGCTTGTCGAAGTCCATCAACATCTTTGAGACCACGATCGTTCATGTAGATCTCCACAGCTTTGCGTAGAACTTGGTGACGTCGTTCTACTGCACCCAAACGTGTGTGGGCTTCTCCCGGTGCTACCTTGTGGAGAATGTTGAGCTCAGCCAGGAAGTCGATCATGTCCTCATGGAGCCAGCCACGTCCTTCATCTGTGATGAGTTCCTTCGGCATGCCAAAATGGCGGAACCATCCACGTTCCAGTGCCTTCTGGTAGTTGGAAGCTTTCTCGGCCTTCACAACAGCTGCAGCTTGGTACTTGGTCGCCAAGTCAATGAAGTGGACGACAGGGATCTTGCCCTTGTCCAGCTTGATCCACATCACATCGGCCTGCAGCTTCTCGTTGAAGTGTGAGGCTTGAGGAAGGGCAGCAGGAGCTGCAGTGTTGGGCTTCCGGTACCGTTCACAGGCACTGCAGTGAAATTCTCTGGCTACCTTGAGGACTTCATCAGAAGCACCACGAGATTCCAAGAGCTCGATCAGGGCCTGTTTGGGAGGATGGCCCAAGTTCCTGTGCAGTCGTTGAACTGTTCGAACTGCTTCCTGCCTGTTGCCGCTGAGCAGCTTGATCAAAACTCCAGTCTGCTCGCGCTCTTCAGAGACCGCACCAGCAAAGTCATTCAGTTGGGGAACTTCAGGCACCATCAAAGCCGCTGCCAGGATCGAGGCCATCGACGGCTGATAGCTTTCCATGTACCGAGTTCGAAGTCCAAGACCCGGTGCATGGCCTTCAAGTGCACAGTGTTGATGATCCCCTTGACATCGAAGTTGAAACTCCTTATAAACACTCATCTTGGTGGTCAACAGGCTGGTGGTCTTTCGAACAGGTTTCCAAAGTCCATCCCTGTCCAAACACTCACATCCATAGCGACACTGATCAAAGGTGCATCGAAAACCAGGCAGCTTGCTCAAGGAAGTGGTCTTCCAGGAAAGAGCCGGTGCAGGCTGTTCCACGTGTGCGTGGCCACCTTGAAGAACTTGGGTCTCATAGACCTTTCTCACAAACTTCAAATGCACTGCATGATGCCATTCTCGAAGTTCTTGCAAGGATTCCTGCTGCTCCAAGGTCTTGGCGTTGAGGTTCTGCATGGGGCTCCAAGGGCCACAGGATGGTGCCAGCAGCACCTCATCTGGAACTTCTTCTTGAAGTCGTTGGAGGAACAACTTGCGGTGCTCGGCAAGGTCAAAGTCCCATCCAGTGGAGTATCCAAAGATCTCAACTTGGGCACCCAGGCTCTCAGCAATCTTTGAGACACGGCCTTCACTCGTGTAGACCTCCCAGATCACTCGAGGCTTCGGCTCAGCATGAAGTTCTGAGGTCACATATCCGTGGAGCTCGTTGTGGGCCTCGCAGATGATCTGGTCGCAGGTTCGAAGTAGATGACGTGGAACAAGTAGTTCACCATCGGCATAGGTCTCGGCCGTGATGTCGTCATCCACAGTGATGAAGGCAGATTCCTGTTTGCAGAAATCCTCATAGCCAACAGGTCGTGGATCCAGGTCGCCATCAGGAGCCAGTTGCAAGTCAAACTGGAGAGGCAAAGGCTTCGACCAGTCCACAGGTTCAGCAGGATCCCAAAGTCCAAGCAGGTATTCTCCATGTAGGCCGATTGTGGCTGGTCGCCAGGGTCCATTGCACAGCTTGATCTGCTTCTTCTCGAAGTCCATTGTGATCCCCAGCGCCTCAATGATGGGGCGTCCACAGAGCAAGGGAGTCTCACCAGCCAACAGAAAGACTTGAGCTCGGCCATGGTTGCCACTGATGCACATTGGAAGTTCAACAGCCCAATGTGCCCAAGATTCACCATCACCTCCAAAATGAAACTTGTGCCTGCATCGGAAAAACTTCACATCAGCCACTGGGTAACCTTGTTGTCGGAGAAAGTCCAAATACCGACGAACAGGTCCATAGCCGCTGAGGTATGCTGAAGCTCCAGGATCCAGCATGGTGACATCTGGCCTTTCAGCGCCAGTCTGGTCCTGGAAGGTGACATGGGCGTTCTCCAGCATCGCCACGCTCTCAGTTGCAGCTCGCTTGGTTCCCTTTGGACTCGAACTGCCTTGGGACTTGCTCGGCATGGGGCAGTTCACAGCAAAGTGTCCAGGTTGTCCACAACGAAGACAAGTGAGTGCAGCTTTAGAGCGTCCTCGAGGGTCAGCAGGCTTCATGGGGCTCTTGGTGTAGTGGTAAGTTCCCGACTTACCTTTGGAAGGCTTGCCCTTCGATTTGCCCTTCTTTCCTTTGGAGGACGGGCTGCCAGCAGGTGAGGTCACACCAGGGGCCAAGTTGCCAGCCGCAGGGTCATTCAAGGCGACCACCGGGAGGAATCCTCGAGCCAGCTTCAGGTCGGAGAAGCGACGTCGAGCATCCACATAGGCTGCATAGACCTCGTCATAGGTGTCCACGTCCTGCAAGACAGTCTCAGATGGATCGCCAGCGGTCTCCTCGTACTGGTAGTAGGCGGCCTGAGCATCAAACTCATCAGCATCTTCCCATTCATCATCATCGCCACCATAGTACGAAGGTGATCCATCATCGCCCTCATAGTAACCCCATTCATCAGTCCATTCATCACCATAGTTGTTGTAGAGCTCTTCAGAGTCCGCCGCGTCCACAGCCACATAGCCACGGTTTCGTCCACCCTTTCCAAAACCACGTCGGTCATGAAAACCAGCCTGCGTCGTGTGCTTGTAGTCCTGCCCAAGCACCAAGTACAAGGCTTCAGTGACCTTGGAGATCTCGAGCTGAGGCGCTCTCAGGGTGATCAACTGCTTCTGCTCCTTGGTGAGGTTGCAGCGTCGTAGAAGGTGCCAGCCCTGCACGGCATTGGGCAGGTCCACGCCATGCTTCGACAAGCGCTTCAGGTGCTCGTTGTGGAGCGTCACAAACTCCATCAAGGACTGCCCAGACTTCCTTGAAAGCCCAAAGTAGGCATCGAAGTCTGCCGGCAGCTGCACCCGGCTATCGTACTCGAAGTGCGGGTCCAGGATCTTCAGAATGCCTTCAAAAGATCCTTCCTTCTCGGCTGTCGTCACGTCGAAGTCTTCCATCAAGCGCCATGCAGCGCCAGTCAACGTGCTCACCAAGTTGATGACTGCTTCACCACGGCGATTGCTCAGAGCCATCTTTGCATGGTACACAAGGTGGTACCCCCTAGTTATGTTGAACTTAGGGGATTTATAAGTAACGTAAATTAATTTATGTTGAAGTTAACATAACTTTAGTTGTGGGTTTTATAAGTAAGTTATATATTCTTTTTAACTTGGGTAAGTTTTTACTTTGTGAAATTTTGTTTTTAAGGCTAATTCGATTAAAACCATGTTTTCTTTGTTTTCCGCAATAGCACGGTGTATAAGGCGGTATTTTTTGCTTTTTGTGGCCGAGTGCGTAGATGTTCTTATTGAGCATTGAAGAAGCGCTCATTTTATTTTGCAACTTGAGCTGGAAAATATGAACAGAAGTGTCTTTTTTTGGTGGAAATTGATATGGTTGGCACCAGACACATACGCGTTTGCTATACACCTACCAAACACATACGCGTTTGTTGGGTTTTTGAAGAGATTTAGTGGCAAACACATACGCGTTTGTTGTTCAGAAACCAAACACATACGCGTTTGCAGTTTTATATACGCGTAACAAACACATCCAAACACAATCCACACACATTGCACACACATACGCGTTTGTCCCCCGTAGCCTAGCAAACACATACGCGTTTGTCGTGTCTAGGCACCAAACACATACGCGTTTGTCGTTTCCAGGCACCAAACACATACGCGTTTGGAGGTCTTTTCAAATATGTCAAGCAAACACATACGCCTTCGTTGTAAAACTTGAACAAATTGGTCCGAAGTTTCCAAAACCCACCCGTCCCAACCGGAACCCCAGCAACGGGTGCAGAAGAACTTTCTTTGTTTGAGAACAGCAGCAGCAGCCATGCTTTGACAAGTCCGTTGGATGGCCTTGAGTCGAGAATGCCTGCAAAGGTCACCAAAAGCTTACATATTTTAGCCCAAACAACATGAAACAAAAATACACATCATGAAAGTTAACTTGTATAATTTTTTACTATCTCCTTTTTAACTTATTGCCATGAAACCCCTAACTTATGTTATAAGTCACTTTCTTAGTTACAACTCCAACATGAGTTATGAAACTTATAACGTATGTTAACCCTGCTTCTAAGTTAACTTGTGAACGTTATAACATAGCTTATAACTTGGGGGTACCACCTAGCAGCTGTATCCTTTTCCTCCATTCTCGATAGTCAGCCGGCTGTTCCGTGAACACAGGGATGTAGGAGTCGCGCTGTGTAGGGCTCTCCGGTGATGTCGCGGCAGTTGACATTCCTTAGGAAGTCCTTACCTTCGAATTCAGTGATCCAAATCAGGTGCTGGAAGATCTAATGGCCGTTGGTATACTGTAAGAGGTCCGGCACTTGGATCAGCGCAGCAAGGGCCAGCAGATCGCTGGCTCCGCTACCAATGCAAAAGCTCAGGTAGCACCAACCCAAGCAGCAGCCCAGCCGCACGAAGTGCCAGGCAGCACAGCGACAGTCGCCTTTTCAGGCCTGCATAGCCAGTTGAGGTCTCAGCGCCCGCCCTGGGCCAATAGCGTCGGATGACGCACATTGAAAAGGGAGCATGGGAAAAGGTGCATGGCATGCAACTTCACACCATAACTTATGTCGTGTCATAGAAAGGTGTTCTGCCACAGGATCCATGGCTCCCATGGTTTATAATTTCCATAAACAACGTGTTGTTTTACGACATCGGAACATATCATGATCCATCTGGGCTTCTGAGGGCCAGACCAAGGCCACATGGTCCAGTTGATGCAGCTGCTGGCTACAAACCTCCAAGACATCCTGGGGCAAACTATTTGTCAAAACAACATTTGCGGTCTCTAGGCCGCTCAAGAACAGCAATTTTCAAGGGCAAAATCCCACAATGGCAGCCAAACCATGTCAAGCCAACATGCCGGCTGCAGCTATGATTGGATCATAGCAAAACCGTTGGGCCGTTAGAGTCAGAGTGTCCATTTGTTATGCTCCACTGCTGCTTCAAAGTCACTGGGGATGCAAACATGGCGATGGTTTGGGCCCCTGGCGGATGCATCTTTGGAGCTCATCATCTCGGACGCACAGGACTGGCAAGTCTTGAGGTGAGTGAACCATCCTAAATTTGAGTTGTCTTTTCAGTTGTGAGGATGAAAACATATTTGGACAACTTGTGGGGGTGTGCATTCAAATATTCATAGGTTACCATAGTTTTCCATGTTTTCCTTGAAAAGATGATAACCATCAACCCTCCCTTGGTTTCAAGGCCCCAGCCGTCTTCATGATGGCTGCCTTGGGATTTGGGGGAGCTGCCCGGCTCGAGGCGTCTCTCGGTGGCATCCAGGACATGGCCCTGGCCAAGAAGCTTGGAAAATTGCCTACAGCAACTCCCAAAAAGATAGAAACCCGTCTCCAGGATGGTATGGATAATGTTTCCAGCACATTTTTCAGGTTTCCACCTCTTCTATCTTTTAAACATTTGTGGGTTTGCTTTTCTTTGTATGAATGATTTGATTGTACCATTAAGGTCTCCATTTACGGGCATTTCCCATTGCCACATTTGATTGCCGGAGGGTAGTCTGGTCCTGCTATGAAATAATATGGTTAATGTGGCAAACCCAATGCCATAAACCCAACTGGGGTCTATAAAATTGGGGGTGCTCAATTTCAACTGAGATGATACAAAATGAACCCTCAATGGTTGGTTAATGCGATGGTTTATGGCATTGGGATTGCTACATTGGTATGATACAATTTTGCACTTACAATGGGGTTACAATTGGAAAATAAAAATGCAAATGCATAGACCTGGCTTCAAATTATAATGAAATAATCAGAAGTCCGTAAGAAGGGGGTATAATCTAATTACCCAATCAATATCTGGATATATCACAACAATTCACAAATTTGGAAAAAGATGCGCGAGGGGTCATGTTGGGATAGTTACCCCTATACAAGTCCCATCGCAACAGTGCCATTGCAGAAAGCTTTGTAATTGCAATTGATCCAAACTGGTGGTGCTTTCCTTGTTTTGCTCAATGATATCTATGTAGTGGGAGAACATTTCCACCAAAATAACATGTCTTAGCGCTAGAAAAAAACCGGTCGCCCGTGCGACCGGCCAGTGTAATGACTCATACCATTTCCCCCACCCAGGGTCACGGCCTGGCCTGGCCCTTCTGACCTTGGCACATGAAATGTGTGGAAAGTCCACCGTGGTAGTTTGAGTGCCATCGGATGGAAGGAAGGGTAAGAAAACACGAGAAAACTATGGGATTCGTAACCTGCAACATCTATAACCTGGAAAGGGCAAGAAAACTTCTGGCTTCGTATGGGTTCGCAGCCTCTAACCGTAACCTGCTGGGATGAAAGTGTATGCCTGGAGGAAGTGCCAAGATTATCAGTATTTACCTTGTTCATACTTTTTGATGTATACCTTGTCCGGATTCCTCAGCGTCTGGCGGGCTACTCGTCATGACCTCAGAGCAACTTACAGGCTGGACCTGGATGGCCTGTCACCGGCACCTGGTTTTGGCGCAATTGAAGTAATGGACATAGCCATCATAGCCATATATAGCAATGGTAAACAACCCCAATTAGTTGGGCACTTCCAAATGGTTGGTCCTGGTTGAACAACACGGCACTCCGCACTTTGAGGACGGGACTCTGGTGCGCCATCTTCGCAATGTCACGGTCACGGCTTACATAGTCACAGGCGATTTGTTCACTGTGTTTGCAGCTGCTGAGTGGTGTCCTTCGGTGCATCAACAATAGGATTTTAACTAGTTAACTAGTTTTGGGTTGCCCCCAACACCCCCCAATACAAGCGGAACTCATTTGGCAACTAAAGAGGCAAAAAACAAAACATTTTTTTTTTAATAGGAGCTGTCATGTACCTGTAACGAGTTGAACCACTCCTGACTGACTTCATGGTTTCCTGCTATCGTGCACCGACATGAGGCAGCTGCCTTCCACGGCGCCAAATACGCCAAAATAGACTATAGGTTTTCATGTTCATGCGCTGCCATCGGGTAGGCAAATAGCCCCTTTTGTTGCAAATAACCTGCAGCTCAGCACCATTCAATCAAGACCTCTCCAGCAACACCTGCTAGTTCGATCATGCTAGAATATGCTAGATCTATAATAACTACTCAATCTACTCACAAACAGGAAGGATAGTTTCAATGAATCTTCTCGGCCAACTGGCCCAGAACCCGACTTGCCACGACATTTTGCATGACAATGGTGACACAATTGGTCTGCGTGGCGTGGCCTGGCTATGTTTCTCGACTAAGGTCAAATCACAAAAACGATATTCCCCAGTTTCCACCCAGGCCGAGTCGCAGAAGCTCACGCATGGCTCTTTGCAGGGACCACTTGGATTCCCACTGGCCCGAAAATTTCCATCAACTGGGTTTCGAACCCTCCTCGCCATGCAGAAGTACATGCGATGATCATCGTGAGACTCTTCTGCAAATCATGAGGGTTCCCCCAACACACGTCGAAACATCTTGCACAACCGAGAGCCAAAATGTGAAAATTCACATTGACAGACTTCACCGAATGCGCTGGCACTATTGTCCCACCATGCGAGTCCCCTACATCGACGGTGAAGTTGCCACAACCCTCATGTACTGTTCTAAACCGGATGCAGACCGTTTGGTGATCAGCTTGTAAGACTTGGAAACATAGTTCCCCGCACAACTTGAGCATTGCATTTGTGTTCCGCGAAATTGATTTCCAAAATGCCCCACACGTCGGGATCAGCATCTATTGAAACCAACTTAGCACCAGTCTCATTGTTGGTGCCATCGTTCCTGTAAGTCCAAGCGATGTAGACAATTGACAGGTAGCTTGGCTGTAGCGAATTCCAATTTCCAGAGCCCTTGCACCCGGGTGCACTCGCATGTGGACCAGACGAGAAGCATGTTCCAAAGAGCATTCGAATTGTTTGCCGGCCTCAATTCATCCTTCACCAATGCAGGACAATCACGGGAGACGGGTGGAAATGCAGACTGTCTTGGCTGTGTTTTTCTTTGAATCAAAGCAGGCAATCTTGCAATCTTC